AACAAGACATCATATTCTAATCAAGGGTAATTGCCTAAGGGCGATACCGTGCTTAAATTCATTTGAATCATAACTATTAATACAAACCCCTTGAAGTATTGTACTTTCAGATGAACAAGACTTCTTCCAACTGTTTTAGGGTTGACGAGATGAATCACCATTTTGCTCTATTTAATGTCATGCTTTAAAAAAAATAAAAATAAACCTGATATTTGGTATAAAACTTGTCAAGAATCCAAAAAAAAATTAGGGATATAGTATTAAAAATTAGTTTTAGTTAGAACTGTTGTGTACAACTCTTTTTCCTAATTCTGCAGCAATGTCAAGCATTGGTTGAGTCCAGGGAGGGTCTGATACATGAAAAGATAACTGATTATATAACATGAATTTGGAGAAAATATTCCCTAATCTTTCCCTTCGCCTTTTCTAGTAATTTGGATTTATCTTTGGCCGCTTAGAACTTCGATTTTTCAAAAGGTCTGGATCCGTCTCCCTCAATCTAATTTCAAGAGTATCATAATTAATCTCCAATGACTACCACTACCACCATCTCTACCCGTAGACCTGTACCCAACCCAAGAACTATCTCTCATCTCTGACTTTCTTCCCATTGATGTTGTGCCACACTTTTCCTTCTCCCAATTGCCAACTCAAGATCAGAATCCAAATCATCACCTAAGTCCACATATCTACGATTCCCAGCCACTGTCTCCCTCAAATGGAATTTCATTTCTTTCCTCTTCTTTTGTTTATCTTTTCTCTTATCGTTACTTTTTTGAAGATGTTTCATTTGTTCTCTGACTGTCCCATGACACTTCTTGACATGGTGTTACATTGCCTCTTTTCCTTGTCAAATGTTCTTTCACTCGTGTAATCCCACATTCAATGATTTTTTTTACAAAATAAATATATTGCATCATATCTATTGGTCACCATTGTTGTAAAATTTCAACCAATATCATCACTAGGATTGATTTGCAAGCATCCTTCTGTCCCATGTCGATGTATTTTTAATTCTGTCACAAAAAAAATATCATGTCCAATGAATAACAAACCAAATAAAACTAATTGATTAAAAAATCACCATATAACCAATAACCCATCAATAATAATGATGGTTAATTTGGTAATATATGTATACCTCCAAGTAAAACAATATATTTTGTGTCTTTTAAAATTTTTTTTACTAAATTGGTGAAAGATCTAATTTAATTAATTACAATTAACATATTATTTAAGTCAATATATTTAATGGCCCAAAAGATCAATTTATAATTATTCATCATAACTTAACTATGACCCATTATATAATTATGAGTAAGCATTATATTATTTTTGTTACTAATTAATATGGACCCAAATTCTAAACTCATTCATAACATGTATTTTAAGTAGGGAAAATTGGATGTGGCAACTTTAAACATAATACGATAATACAAGACGACCAAACACGAAATTAGGATGCTAGGATTTACTATTTCTCGGCACGAATATGAAACAAAACACGACTTGCTAACATGCTTAATAAATGAGTTGGGTTAATTTCAAATACGGATGATACGAAATTGACATTTAAATAGTATTACATAAAAAACGACAGATTTTCATAATTTTTAATCAAGTATGGACATGAATTCTTGTAAAATAAGATGATTTTTTAAAAAAATTTTACGATTATACGGATTGAATGAATTTCTAGTTTACCAAAAATTGTAAATGTGGATTTAGTTAAAATATGATGAAATCTTTGTTTTAGATTTTTGATTCATAACTAGACCCATAAAACTTCAATACGAAAAAATAACAAATAGATCGACTTATGGTCATGAGTACATCTAACATGATTAATTAAATTAGTTAAGTTAAAAATTATTAATATTTGATACAAATACAAAACAATACCACCCAAATACAATTGGGCATGAAATAATTGAAGGGAGTGGGCCAGCAGCATAAATAATGATGGTGTTAATTAAGTGGATGAGCAGAATGTATAAATTACGAGAATCAGCTTGGATCTTAGTGTTACAAAGTTCGTGAGGATTATGATTAGGTTCTTGAGTAGTTGGGGTAACTTGCACAGTGAAAGTATTCTGGTTTACCGAGTTTGGGAGCTCAGTTAGTCCACTCTTAAATAGAGTCTCTTGTTCCTCGGATCTATATTGATGACTGCTATAAAATACAGAATGATTCTCATACAATCGGGCCCCCCCTCCTTGATGGAGGCACTGTATAGTATTTATAGTCCGATTCCTATCTCTAAGGGATCTGCAGCGAGATCCTTGCCCTTCATCTGCGGGGTTTTCCTTGATTTTGGAAGAGGATCTTGGGTGATTGAGAGTTCTGTGCCTTAATTATTGCCTTCTGTTCTTTCGGAGATGCCCCCTATTAGCCAATTGTTCCCTTCTCATCTCCTTTACTGTTTTCTCTGAAGGGAGCTCGCGATCTGAGCCTCTGAACTCTGGATTCCTTATCCGACCTCCTTGTCTGACCTCACTTCCCGAACTCGTACTTAGTTAAAATCTTTTTCATGTATCATCAAATATCCGGGTCAAATAATGGATGAATAGAAACATGGAGAATTAATCACAAACAACCACCTCTTTTAATGATTTCTGATTTCCATTTTTTCCTCAGAAAAATAACATCACAACCATACAATGCAGCATCAAGGTATTCACTGACCTAAACAATGAGTGATGGCCGGCGATCATGTGGTCACCAACGTAAATAACGGGTGATGGTGACCTTGTGAGGATTAGCAATGCTTTAAGAACCTAATTATCATTTGATTAAATGTGAGTTTCAATGATAGATGAAGCTCATCTTTAAGTCAATGGTTACATTGAATTAGACCCTCTACATTAGAAGAAAATATTTAATGTAATGATGATACTATATCATTAATGCTGACGTGGTATTTTCAACAAATAATAAAACATCAAGTGGGTAAAGAAAACCTCACTTTGATAGTTATTTATTTACTTGGANTCATAACTCAAATTTATAGTCTAACGAGTAAACTCAAATAACTATTTTGATTTTTTTAAAAAAATTCTTATTGTCTCAAATATCATTTTTTTTGTCATTCAAATCATGATATTTAATAAAATAAATGAAACTTTTATATCTCTCCACAAATGGATAATTCAAAAAAAAAAATTGAATATGGATACAACTCTATATGAGAATAAAAAGAAATAGAAAAAACAAAAGAAAACCACTCTATAATTCTCATATTGTCCTAATTTNGAGGATTAGTTATTAATATTTATGGAGTATATTTGTTTATTTATTTTGAGATTATTGGTTGATGATATCACGTCAGAATTCTCATGTAGTATCACCATTATAATAAATATTTTTTCCCATAATAGATCCCTAAATTAGGTCCAAAAAAACATTTTCTTGCGAGGACATGTTAATATATTTTAATTTGTCGAGCANTGGTAAATCAAGATAAAGAAAAAAAAAAGTAGTTACTTTAACGTGGGTATGGTCAGCATTGCCAAAACAAAATTCAACACCATACCAAAATTGATTCATAGACATAGATTTTTGTGTAATTAATTTATAGTCATTAATTGTAAAAATAATAAAATAATTTTAAAAAAAAAAATTTACACGTGATTGTTTTTGTTGAATGAAAAGTGTAAATATTGTACCGTAGTTTCACCCAGTTGAAGAAACAAGACATCATATTCTAATCAAGGGTAATTGCCTAAGGGCGATACCGTACTTAAATTCATTTGAATCATAACTATTAATACAAACCCCTTGAAGTATTGTACTTTCAGATGAACGAGACTTCTTCCAACTGTTTTAGGGTTGACGAGATGAATCACCATTTTGCTCTATTTAATGTCATGCTTTAAAAAAAATAAAAATAAACCTGATATTTGGTATAAAACTTGTCAAGAATCCAAAAAAAAATTAGGGATATAGTATTAAAAATTAGTTTTAGTTAGAACTGTTGTGTACAACTCTTTTTCCTAATTCTGCAGCAATGTCAAGCATTGGTTGAGTCCAGGGAGGGTCTGATACATGAAAAGATAACTGATTATATAACATGAATTTGGAGAAAATATTCCCTAATCTTTCCCTTCGCCTTTTCTAGTAATTTGGATTTATCTTTGGCCGCTTAGAACTTCGATTTTTCAAAAGGTCTGGATCCGTCTCCCTCAATCTAATTTCAAGAGTATCATAATTAATCTCCAATGACTACCACTACCACCATCTCTACCCGTAGACCTGTACCCAACCCAAGAACTATCTCTCATCTCTGACTTTCTTCCCATTGATGTTGTGCCACACTTTTCCTTCTCCCAATTGCCAACTCAAGATCAGAATCCAAATCATCACCTAAGTCCACATATCTACGATTCCCAGCCACTGCCTCCCTCAAATGGAATTTCATTTCTTTCCTCTTCTTTTGTTTATCTTTTCTCTTGTCGTTACTTTTTTGAAGATGTTTCATTTGTTCTCTGACTGTCCCGTGACACTTCTTGACATGGTGTTACATTGCCTCTTTTCCTTGTCAAATGTTCTTTCACTCGTGTAATCCCACATTCAATGATTTTTTTTACAAAATAAATATATTGCATCATATCTATTGGTCACCATTGTTGTAAAATTTCAACCAATATCATCACTAGGATTGATTTGCAAGCATCCTTCTGTCCCATGTCGATGTATTTTTAATTCTGTCACAAAAAAAATATCATGTCCAATGAATAACAAACCAAATAAAACTAATTGATTAAAAAATCACCATATAACCAATAACCCATCAATAATAATGATGGTTAATTTGGTAATATATGTATACCTCCAAGTAAAACAATATATTTTGTGTCTTTTAAAATTTTTTTTACTAAATTGGTGAAAGATCTAATTTAATTAATTACAATTAACATATTATTTAAGTCAATATATTTAATGGCCCAAAAGATCAATTTATAATTATTCATCATAACTTAACTATGACCCATTATATAATTATGAGTAAGCATTATATTATTTTTGTTACTAATTAATATGGACCCAAATTCTAAACTCATTCATAACATGTATTTTAAGTAGGGAAAATTGGATGTGGCAACTTTAAACATAATACGATAATACAAGACGACCAAACACGAAATTAGGATACTAGGATTTACTATTTCTCGGCACGAATATGAAACAAAACACGACTTGCTAACATGCTTAATAAATGAGTTGGGTTAATTTCAAATACGGATGATACGAAATTGACATTTAAATAGTATTACATAAAAAACGACAGATTTTCATAATTTTTAATCAAGTATGGACATGAATTCTTGTAAAATAAGATGATTTTTTAAANACTTGCCTAAAGGTGTTTCCATATGGAACTTTGTGTCAGCATTGCATCAAGAACCTGAAATATGGGGACCTGATGCTGATAAGTTCAATCCTGGGAGGTTTGCCAATGGAGTCACTGGTGCATGCAAGTTTCCACATGTATACATGCCGTTTGGCATTGGTCCTCACTTGTATTTGGCTATGCAATTTGCATTAACAGAGCTCAAAATTCTTCTTATTCTTCTTTTCTCCAACTTCTCGTTCTCTATCTCCCCTGAATATCGACATTCCCCCGTGTTCAAGTTAGTGTTGGAGCCCGAACATGGAGCGAATCTCCTCGTAAAGAGAGTATGATGTTATCTTAGTTTGGTGTGTATTGATGATTGATGCTTGCTTATATCATGTGATTGTAAGGGTTAGGGGGATGAGTGCTATCCCTACTATCTCCGGTGGTTACAAACATTGCCAAAAGTGTTGTGCTCATAGGCGGAGGGAGGCAGGGGCCAAGGTGGGAATGTGCCCACCTCTCAATTTTTTTTTTATTAGTTAGATATATATATTATATATTTATACATATATATTATGTATGTCCCCTCATTTATATTAGACCTACATTATTTATTCAAAATAATTAAAAAATTAAGTCTATTTAAAACAAAAAAAAAATTGAACTTATTACTTCCTCCGTTCCTAAATATCTGTCGTTTAAGGTTTTTGTACAAAGATTAAGGAAGCTATTAAATAACTCTAATATGAGTAAAAAATAATTGCACAAGACTAAAATGCCCTTATTCAATACATATTAGGAAAGAAAAGAATATGAAAGACACTTATTCTACACTTAATCTATTCCCTCCGTTCCTAAATATTTGTCGTTTAAGATTTTTGCACATGAATTAAGAAAGTTATTAAATAACTCTAATATGAGTAAAAAATAATTGCACCAGACTAAAATATCCTTATTCAATACGTATTGGGAAGGAAAAGAATATGAAAGACACTTAACCTCCACCTAATCTAATGCATTAAAAAGTTAAGGTTAAATTTGGAAGAAAAATATTAATTATGCTTTGGTTTCATTAAACGACAGATATTATGAAACAAAAAAAATTGTGTAAAACGATAGATATTTAGGAACGAATGGAGTATTAAACACTTATTGAAAAACAGAGATAAGGGTAAATTTGAAAAAAAAATATTTATTATGTTTTGGTTTCAAAAAACGATAGATATTATGGAACAAAAAAAATTATGTAAAACGACAGATATTTAGGAACGTAGGAAGTATTATCTACCCAAACTTATTAAAAAATCAAATATTTGACTTATCACAATCTACTCAAACCTATTACAAAAACAAAGCTTTTAACCCAACACTAAAAACAAAATTTTTGGCCCAACATTAAAAACAAAACTTTTANTTTAGGAACGTAGGAAGTATTATCTACCCAAACTTATTAAAAAATCAAATATTTGACTTATCACAATCTACTCAAACCTATTACAAAAACAAAGCTTTTAACCCAATACTAAAAACAAAATTTTTGGCCCAACATTAAAAACAAAAATTTTGGCCCACCACCATTAAAAAATAAAACTTTTGGCCCACTTGACTAAAACCTATCCTATCTTAACTACTCATTGCCCATTGCGCAACCATAAGAAAAAAAAAAAGAAATAGAGAGAAGTTCAATATACGATAAACTTAGTTCCTTGAGTTTTTTTGACCTTCCTTGCACCAACATATAAAAAATATTTTTTGTCTTTTTGTTAAAATTTTGTTTTAGTTAAATAAAAATTAAATTTATTATTTCACAATAATTTAGTACTAATTCTTACTTTTTTTTTATTCTTGAACTGAATTTTTTTGTATTAATTTTGGCTGAATATTTTTTATACCAGTTATTATTTGCCTTTATCATAGACATTCATGGCTCCGCCCCTGGTAATATACATTTTTTTTTTGGAATTTTTTTATGTTAAATGACCTTCATATATCAAATATAATATAATAAATATAAATATATTATATAGTGTGATCGGTTAGAAGGAAACAAATTATAGTGCATAATTAAAGTGCTCATCCTAAATAAATTTCTGGCTCCACCCCTGTACCCACCCCACTAGTAACTAAATCTACCACATTTTATATCCAACTCATTAACAACAAAACTTATCTCAATCTTCAAGCAAAAAATGGCTTCAATGGTGGCTGCCCCTGATGTTTTTCTAATGCTACCCAACATGCAAGGGCAAAGCCACCTTATGCCCAGAGGAGCACATGCCCCCCTTAAAATTGGTTTACTTTAATCACCTACTTATATTTAAGTATTTTTTTAATATATTAAATTATGTCCATCCTAATTTTTTAGTCAAAACCAAAAAAGTCATGATATATTCGAGAGTTTATTTGTAATTTTGATATTTATTTTTATAATTATTATCGACATGGTAGAGAATAAATTTTATTATGTAATTGAATAAATGATAAATAACTAAGTGATAGCATGATTGTAGATATAAATAATAATAAATTTAATGCAAAACTTTCAATGTATAAAAATTCATCGGAGTCAATTTTAAATAATTTTGATTAGCTTTTGTTTTGTAAAATGATATAATTAATGTTTTTTTTGTCATTTGTATCTATAATGCTTATCAATTTTAATCTTTTAAGTTTAATGAACTATTAAGAATTAAATAGGATGTAATTAAATATAAATACATTATCCTATTTTTATCAATTGCAAGAAAAAAATTAAGCTTGTTAAAATATTTTGTGCTCACTTTGAAACGATTTTCTGGCTCCGCCCCAGCCTCCGTGCATGACCAAGGACTGGGTAGCATCTTCCAGAATGACACCATCGAGCAGAAGTGACGGTGAAATGCTCTCTATTTAGGTTGATGGCTTCGAACTCTATTCATGCTTCTGTGAATACCTACTTATATAGCAAGTCGAAGTGCTCCTTGACATTTCGGAGTACCCTTTTATTTATTTATTTATTTATTTTTGCATACACTTCAGTTGTTCTTCATGATCATGACATGACTTGATTCAGTATTTGTGGCTGCAAATTGAATAGAGGACTTTGGCAAGGTTGTAATCTATCATCCTGTAACTGTCTTCAGCAGCTTGTAAATTACATCGAAGCTTAGTGAAGTTTATCACTTAATTATATAGATCCCCTCACATTTGAGATATTACATTTAGATACTTATAAGTTTTATGCACATATAACACATAAACCCAGGTCTTTAGTGTCCGACGGCTTTATTAAAAAAATAAAAGTGTCCATTGGCATAGCCGTTAGATTTCACGATGTCATCATATTATGAAAGCATAATCCCCACACTCCTCTCTTCTGGGGGCCCAGTGTCATTTGTTATTACACTAACCATATTGGTCCAATGCCTTCCAAACTCCGTGTTTGACAATTGAATGGCAGCACTACCCTTCCTGCTACCAACTGTCTNAAAAAAATAAAAGTGTCCATTGGCATAGCCGTTAGATTTCACGATGTCATCATATTATGAAAGCATAATCCCCACACTCCTCTCTTCTGGGGGCCCAGTGTCATTTGATATTACACTAACCATATTGGTCCAATGCCTTCCAAACTCCGTGTTTGACAATTGAATGGCGGCACTACCCTTCCTGCTACCAACTGTCTTCCCTATCTGGCACAACACGACAATATCCAGGATTTGCCACGTACGGGGCCTGCTGGCAAATCACTCCAACTGATTAGCATGACCCAATTGCTTCCATACAGAGCTGAGCATTCCACAACTCTGACCCAAGAACAGTAAAGCCTCTTTGTTTCAAAAAAATTTCTTTCAATTGTGTTAGTTGTCNCTTCCCTATCTGGCACAACACGACAATATCCAGGATTTGCCACGTACGGGGCCTGCTGGCAAATCACTCCAACTGATTAGCATGACCCAATTGCTTCCATACAGAGCTGAGCATTCCACAACTCTGACCCAAGAACAGTAAAGCCTCTTTGTTTCAAAAAAATTTCTTTCAATTGTGTTAGTTTTCACAACGCTTCCACGAGTGTCAAGAAAGGGTGAGAGAGAGAGAGAGAGAGCAAATATTGCATTCAAGAAGGTAGTTCTCACTAGTTCTATTAAGTAAATGAAGTTAAATAAAGTGGTAGTTAGAGTCTAATGGGTCAAGGATTATGAATCTAAGTTGAGAAAATCTTAGTTTTACCAGTCATAGTTTATCAAGATCATGAGTTTAAAGAGCAGTGAAGATAACTGTGAAATTAGCAATAGGTTTAGGACACTCGCAAAAACTTTCCTAATTATGTTATTATGAGAGACAGAAAGAGCCTTTGATTGAATTCACAGGTTGGAGAAGTCTCTGGAAAGTTTCATCTTGTTCTTGCGTATGATGCTCATGAAAGAANTCATAGTTTATCAAGATCATGAGTTTAAAGAGCAGTGAAGATAACTGTGAAATTAGCTATAGGTTTAGGACACTCGCAAAAACTTTCCTGATTATGTTATTATGAGAGACAGAAAGAGCCTTTGTTTGAATTCACAGGTTGGAGAAGTCTCTGGAAAGTTTCATCTTGTTCTTGCGTATGATGCTCATGAAAGAAGATGAAAGGGCGCCAGATTCCATATGATATCAAGGCAAACTTACACCCTGGATTAGAAACACAAATCTATTGCGGTCTAGAATGAACCTAGGAAACTAGTTTAGTCTAGTGTAGTAATTCAAACCGTTATACGTACTCTAATTTGAGGAAAAAAAGTTTCTCGCACAGAGATTTTTGTTGCAGAAATTATCTCAGGAATCGAATTTGGGTCGATATTGACACTCACACTCAAGTCGAAAAGTAATTTACGTGGNCCTGGATTAGAAACACAAATCTATTGCGGTCTAGAATGAACCTAGGAAACTAGTTTAGTCTAGTGTAGTAATTCAAACCGTTATACGTACTCTAATTTGAGGAAGAAAAGTTTCTCGCACAGAGATTTTTGTTGCAGAAACTATCTCAGGAATCGAATTTGGGTCGATATTGACACTCACACTAAAGTCGAAAAGTAATTTACGTGATTCGGCAATTATTTACGTCCAAAACAACAACAATTGGATGTTTTCACTATCCAGAGTAAACAAAGAGTACAAGAACAATTGTTCCAAACCTTACAAGTACTCACTCCAATAAAATCATTTTGATATCTCACTCGTATCACTCATAGATCTGAGGACACTCAAATTGATACCTAATATCACTCAGGAGAACTCATAACTCTCAAATANCGGCAATTATTTACGTCCAAAACAACAACAATTGGATGTTTTCACTATCCAGAGTAAACAAAGAGTACAAGAACAA